GGTTAGGATTAAGGCTTACGTAAAGAACTCTGCTTCTATTTATACTATTTTAGATGCGGTTTTTTCCGTTTTTGATTGCGTTTTAATAGAGTACGTCAACAGAATGTACACTAAGAAGGGATTTTTCCATATTCCCCCCGCGGGGGAGAGAGACAGGATTAAGGCTTACTGTGAAAAACTTGGCTTCTATTATACTATTTTAGATGCGGGTTTTTGCGTTTTTGATTGCGTTTTAATAGGGTACGTCAGCAGAATGTACACTAAGAAAAAATTTTTCGAAAAATTTTCCCCCACCGGGGAAGTGTTATACATTTATAATAGATACATTTTGAGCCACAACAAGGCGTGGCGGGGTCTGCTAGTTGTTTATATAATAAAATGTTGAAGATGTAAAGTTTTTAACTATATACGGAAAATTGTCACGTAAATGGTCCCTTTTTCTCTCAGTGCTATTAGTGAAACAAAAAAAGATTCAAATTATATGAGTAAATATAATTTTAAATACTTAACAGTTAAGCAAGCGCGTTTATTTTTAACTGTTTTTACCTTGTAGGAAGTAAAAGAATCTTTTGCAAATCCATTGTGGATTCGACCAGGTCCAGACAGAATACCTCGAATAATTTCCTGGGATTTGTCGACCCGTCTGGATTCGTTCTCTGTTCAGAGTATTACGTTGTCACCTTTTAACTTCTCGGCCATCAGGCCGTCAAACAACAGCACAAGAGATAAAAACACAATTAAACAGAGCTTATTAAAAAAATATAATTTCTAAAAATAAAAATTATTCTCAGACAAAATAGACGAGTAAATTAAAACACTCTTTCCTATCTTTTTTTTTTTTTTTCTTTGGTGGTGTTAATATGGAGATTTTAGCTCAATGTAGGCTCTTTCTCCGAATAGACGTGTGTCTATATCGGATCGCTATGCGACCGATTTGCCGGTTGTATCGAACAGCCTATACGTACGCGCGGGAAATGAATGCCTTCCGGGAGAACTTTTATGAGGAACTGGTCTCCTATTTAGTCGTTATGGACAAGGAAAAAACCCGGAAAATTCCAAGCAACCAGCCTGTCCGATCACGGCGCGAATCCACGACCGAACTTCCCAGTGTTTAGGGGCTGGTCACCGCTATGAGCGGCAACGGAGACCACTCGCCCACTGACACTCTTTCCTAGACTGACTTCGAGCGATTTATATTAGCGGACAAATAGTAATCAACAAAGATACTTTTCTTTAACCAGAGTTAATTCTTTTATTTTCATAATTTTCCATTGGAAAGTGATTTTGAAAATTTTATTTTCATAATTTTCAAATCACTTTCCAATAAAGTGATTTGAAGTGTAAAACCATATAAATATTTATATGGTTTTACACTTAAGTAAACAAAAATAACTTAGTAATAATAAATAGTTTTTCTTTGTAAAATATTTCTTTTTTTTTCACACTCTTATGAGACAACACTAAAGAGCCTTTCTGGCAAGCTCAGCGTAGGTAGTCGTAGTTAAACAGGGGGCGGCATAATCGGTATTGCACACGGGCGTTCAAACAGCTAGCGGCGTCCCTGTTGAGTTATTCCTATCCAAGGCTCCCTAGTCGCTAACTTTAACTGATTTACAACCAGCATACATTGCACATTATTCTTCGCATTGCAAAATGACATACACATGCGTCAGAAACTTCTATTCGAACAAACCTCACCTGCCGCCCGTGTCAACGATTTTAATAAGGTGGCAACACTAGCACGGAATTTTTCATTACTTATTCTGTGACGAAACTGAATTTTAGTCTTAAATTGAGATACCTAAATAAGGGGGGCGAAATTTTCCTCCGCCCAGGGCGGCTGACACCCGCACTACGCCACTGATCCTAATTCGCAAATATTCCTAATTGGATATTCCAGTGATAATGTTTATGAAAAATGAAATTTAATTTTACATGTTGCAATAATTTATTTATTTTTGATATCAAATAAAAACATAAAACTCTATATTAACATTTAATAGAAATATAGTTATTTTAAAAATGTATTGTTTAATATAGTATAATCTGTTTTTCAAGCTCAATGGGCTAATAAAAATAATTAAAAATTATTTATAACTAGCTGCAAGATCCCGCTTCGCTGGGTTTTTATTTGTATGTAATATAGTTTTTTTTATATATAAAAGACTGTTTTTCTAAGTAATCTAGAATCTAGCTGCAAGGACCCGCTTCGCTGGGCAAAAAGTAACGATAGTGAAGATTAAGATAATTACGTTATAGCTAATCTTACCCGTTTTCACAGAATGCAAGAATTAGGTTCCCCGTTTCCAGACTAATTAGAGACCTGGTCCCGATTCTATTTCTGGACGTCTCCTGTTCACATCAAGTCAAACGAACTATTTTCAACGTTTCTGGAACGTTTACAATCGTTCTATAATCGAACCAATATTCAAATTTTATGTTTGAAATAAATTCGAACAAAACATTCGAAATAGAAAGCCACTTTCAACCACTTTCAGCCTCATATCTCCCGCACCCTTATAGCTATCGAGACGCAACCACCCCTATGCACGAATGGAGACTTGGGGCTACCACCACATACAAACACCATTCACGTGCGATGTGTAGTTTTGGCGAAAAAGTAAAATTTTATAACATTTCGTGGCGCATCTGTGAGGAAGCCGCTGTGCACACTTTGAGAGCCACTGGATTAAATTATTAAAAAACCTCGTATATAGGGATCGAGCCCTAACGCAAACTATCCACATATTCAACTAATTACGCTACGCCAGGAGTTCGTAAATCACCCTTAGTACCACTCCTTAGTACCCACAGGGCGAAAAAAGTTAAAAAAGCTTCTAATTATAATTATTTCGGAGAGAATTTTTTTATCTCTCTTTATAATGGCGAATTGTATAATAGAATGGAGAAACTTAGCCATATCGTAAAAATAAATACAGAAATGTTTTATTCCTTCATAGAAATAAGAAAAACTGTCTTTACAGATATTTAAAATTTTAAATTTCAGAATAGAATCTTATATTTTTAAAATCTGTTTACTATTTTATTTTTCACGTTAGAACTAGTGCTAAACATACATACATATATAAAAATAGTCGGATAGCAGAGACGATCAAGGCGTGTATTTCCTCTCGGAGCGAATCGGTTTCAGAATTTTCTTTCTTAGTGTCGGAAGGACTAAAATAGTTTATATACAGCATGTAAAGAAAAAAAATAATTTTTTCAGTTTATATTAAAGTCAAATCAGAAATTAACAGAAAACAATAAAAAATATGTATATAGGCCTAGTAATAATTATAAGATACAAAATAGACAAAACAGTGATAAAGAAAATTTTCAAATAAAATTAAAATTACATCAAAAGTAGAAATTGTAAACTAACAATAGATATTGTTTATGTACATTTTCTCAAGTAAAAAGCAGAAAATTACTTTAAAATTATAAATTATATCAAGTTTTAGCATATTTTGTGTTGAAATATTTCAAACGGCAAAGAGTTAAGCATAATGCCACTTCAGACCATGATACCATCATCTGCAAAATTCGTTTTTCTTCCCCACGATGTTCATGGGACTATATCGAATTCCACGCTTAAGAGTATAATCCGACGATAAGAAATCAGTAGATTATATGATGAACACGTGTACACGTGTCAAAAAGAGAAAGGAGGAATAATCGTCTAATCCAAACAGGGATTGGACGATTATGTCTCCTTTTGGACACATGTTTCTCTAGGAGATCCGGGAACGTATCCAGGTCGTAAAACCCAGGAGCTTCTCAGGGACGATTTATCCTGAATATATCGAATATTGTCTTTCACAACCGATCGCTGCCTATAATGGCTGTTCGCTTACATGCATAACCGAACCCGCGACGCGCTTGATTAAAAAGTCCTCTTAATGCTCACAAGGCGGAAAAAGTAAAAACTAAATAAATTGTAAATAAGAATTGCATTTTTTAAATTCTTTCCTCCCTGTGGTCACTAAGAGGGCCTCTTTTTAGTAAGCCCATATGGGTTCGGCCAGGCCCACAATGGGGCGGCCGGATGATGAGGGACGGGACCCGACATGTCCGAACGGACCACACTCGGAAAAATTCGTGGGGATTTTTCAACTTTGCCACTTTGACCGCTTGGCCATCCGGCCTAACACTAAGTAGGTTAGTACCTAACCTACTTAGTACCTAACACTAAGTAGGTTAGTACCTAACCTACTTAGTGTTAGGCCGTAGGAGTTATTGGCGGCACAGAACTAGATAATGCCAGAGCACAGCGAAATCATAGGCGAACTTCTCAATGGTGGACCAACTCCCGTTGACGGATGAACTCTGGAGACGGCAAACTGAACAGGCGTAATTTATTTTTCACTTTTATTTGGGGGTCCTCTCCGTTTCTTCTCATGACCATCTTTGGTAATGTTAAGTTCTACGCCCAATAGACAAATTTTGGTGGTTTGGTTCCTGGTGACACATTCGGAAGATGTATCAACTTTGAAAGGAAGTGAATTCGGGGAAAGATGCAATCATATCCTTCAATCTTTATTGAGCGTTGGGAAAAAATATAAATCTTTTCCATATTATATATAAAATTTAGGCGTTATTCTTTTGAAAAATATAATTTTTTGTCGTTGAATAACATTTCCATCTAATCCGGGCTCTCACACTCTTCTACATCAAAATGATGAAATGATAACAAATATAGAATATTACCTTAGATATTATTTAGATAGATGCAAATATTTGTATATAAGCATAGAAATTAAATTTATACAGCATATATTTTTCGATTTGAATTTTTCATATATTATATAAAGAGCTGTCTATAAATTACATCCACATTTTTCTTAAAATTTTTACTCTCCCCTTCTCCATTGTCCCATTTTGTCCAAGTTTCAGTAACCTTCTCCTTTTCGGACGTCAACAAAACTTAATTCCCCAAAATCTTTACCATTTTATAAATAACAAAATGTATAAACTGTATAAAATTTAATGAAATAAATATATATATATATATACAGTATATACATCAAGAAATAATTTAATTTAGACGATAAATTACTTTTATAATTAAAGAAAATATGGCGAATTAATCATTTTAATGCTGGTTTATATTAAAACAGGTGTATTAATATTAAACCGAATGAATAAACGAATATGTCATAAATATTTTTATTATCGTTTGGTAATTATCTTTGTCACAACAGCGCCATCGATATCGTAGCGATCGACAAAAGAAATATCAGAAATAGCCGCCATTATTGTGATGTTTTACTCCTCTTATCTGTTTTAAAATAACGATAGTTACTTAACATCGTTTCTTTTAACGTATTCGGTATGTACAATTTATTTCCTATTCTATTTTATTAACGTATGATTGATTGTTTTAAATCATTAAAGTATGTTTTTCAAAGAGTGTTGATTATTTAGTAACGTGGATAAAGATATGGTAAATTGTCGTAATTGGTACATCTTCAACTTATTATTCTGTGTAGATTATCTTGAGAAAATCAAAATTGTTTTGGTAAATTAATTGAATGGATATGTGTAAATGAACAATTAAGACATTAATAACGATAAAAAGAGCAATTTAAATTTTAAAATCGAATCAATTTAACCATTTTATTCGAATTTTAAATTCTGGTCTCACTTTTCAAAATTATAAAATAAAATTCTTTAATTTACATTTTATTTTATTTTTTTTATCTCCTCATTTTATAAATTTTCATTTCAAAATTCTATACATGTTATTCTGCGTGTGTCATTATGTAAAATTTATTTTGCTCCTAAATGAATTTAATTATTTAATGTAATTTATTGATAAAATGTTTAAAAAGGTTTGTTTTTTTAAAGTGAAATTATTTAATATTTATGCCATATGTCTGTCAAAACTTTATTGACTTTTTGGTATTTATTTATTTATTTTTTTAAGCATTATTTGAAAATTTTCTGATTAAAATTAATTTATGAAAATTGAAATCATTTTTGATTGTTCGTAATTAATTTTGATCAAAAAATTAATTAATTAATTAATTTTTTTTTAAATTTGTGAAATCTTTTATTGATTTGTAATGACAATTGCAATTTGTTAAAATGTTAATGTGTTGTAAAATAAAATGTTAAATTTATATTAAGTAATTAGATATATATGTATATTAATTTTTGATAATATATAAAATTTGAATTTCTTACGAAAATAATAAACCAATGTTTTTATTGTTTAACAGTAATTAACAGGTAGATATTGTTATATTTGCTGTTAGAAATGTTATCACCAAAAATATATATACATATATATGCCTATCAAATGTTTATCTTATGATACTGTTGTTCCTATTGAAATAGGTAGTGTGTATTAAATATAAGATGTATTTAGGATTTAAGTACAGTAGAGCATCGATTATCTGAAACAGTTTGGGATTGGGGTTCGCATAACTGATCATTTACGAAAATATATTAAACACAAAACTGTGCTGTATATATATTGTATCACACGTCTTACAAGTACATACCTTACATAATGTAGTACATTAAACTAGGCCTACAGTTCTAGGTTGGCAGGGAGGGGGAGAGTGCTGCAGCACCATAGTGCCACAGTAGTAGCAGGAATTTGAATTTGCTGATTGGAATGCTTTCGGTAACCGATGTTTCAGTTGATCGGTATTTGGATAATCGATGCTCTACTGTAGTTTCACATCACAACCCAAATCAGGGCTTCTGGTATCTAACTCCTAATTCCTAACTCAAGCAAATCTTGATAAATCTGTTTTAGAATTTTAAAATTTAAAAGTAAAAAAACAATAAATATAAGTTTGTTTTTTTTTCTTGCATTTATTGATCCATTTTTTTAAATCTATTTAAAAATGATATTTATTTAACTTTTATTTTATATTAGTGATTGCAGTTTTTATGACAATTTTTAATAAAGAATAATATAGAATATCAGATGCTAAAGTAATGTGACTTATTCAGTTAGAAATTAAAATGAATTTTTACAACTGATTTTTATTTGATAGAGATAAGCAAGGTGTTAATTAAAAGATACCTAATATTTTAATTTTATTTATACATTTTTTTCATTTAATAAAATTATGAAAAGAAGCTGTTTTTTTATGATGCAGAAGTTGAAAAATTTCTTTATTACTGGCTTTGGACAAATCACTTAAACTTACCATTCATCTTCTGAAAGTTGTAAAGCTGATAAATAGAAAAAGGAAATACAGTAGAGCGTCGGTTTTCCAAAAGTCAATCATCCGAAAGAATTCCAGTCGGGAAATTTAAATTTTTGCCAGTGCTGTGGCGCTTCAATCTTTGGCTATGTCTTGGGCTACTCAAATATTTTACGTTTTTGATACTAAATTAACGTCTGAAGTATAATTTTTTATTGTTTTTATATTTTTCAATATATTTATTTTGTTTGTACAAAATAAAAAAATAATTTTTAACGATACAATAGTCTTTGTTAGGCTTAACATCAACGAAAATTCAACGCGAAGCGACACGCAACGGAGAAAAATTTCAACATCGGATACGTTAAACTATTTTTTCGTACATAAATCGGTTATCCGAAATATCAGTTATACGAATAACCTCAGTTCCCAACTGATTTGGAAAATCGATGCTGTACTGTAAATGCATTATGTAGGAAATTAAATAGGCTGTATGTATATGCATGTATATATAAGCTGCTTAGAGGAACAAAATGGTAAATGCAAATATGGAAATTTTAGAATACAGCAAAAATAAAATTGTGATTGAACCATAAATCTGAATAAATTTATTCTAAAAACAATCTTTTATTGAAAGTGCTTTGTAATCAATCTAGTTTTATAATGACATAATTGAAAAAGTGCCATAAGATCACACTAGGATGATAGCAATAGATGTCAATGGTGCTTACCATTATGTTTCCCTGAGCAGCTGATATATACGTGTGTGTGTGTATATTTTAGTCAATGATGTTAATCAGTCATTAATGCTAATAGCTGGTCTATGACCTTAACTCCCAATATTTTAGGGCAAGAATGTTATTGACTAGCCATTAATGTAAATTCCCAGTTTTACTGAGATATATCATGAATTTGGAGAATATCTACTATGCTATAGCACTTTGTTCAGGCATTCTTGTTACTGACTAATGTCTTAATACATGATTTAACATTTTTATACATTTCCATAATTTAATGTATATCATTTTCATCAACTCCTTTTCTTCCTGATTCAGAATTCTCGGGAATCCCAAAGGCATCCCATATTAATAATGTATATACAGGCTTAACTATAAATTTTTTTACTGTTTTTTTGCCCTTAATGAAAACTCCCAAAAATATTTAAAAATCAACACAAATTGTAAGCAAAAAACAAACAGTGTAATCAATTTAAAATCTAAAATAGTGAAAGTGACAGTTAATAGAAATATAAATATTAATGATATTTACAAGTAAAAAATGTTCAAAACCAAATTAAAATAGTATTTATAAGCAGTCCTTTAAAAAAGATGAAAGCAATATGAGTTAAAAATGAGAAAATTTCATATATTAAAAGAATTTTGAATATTTACGGTGTATTCTCTCTATGCTCAAGCCAAACTTACGCTGTGGAGCAATTTCAGTGCTTGAAGTGGCAGAAATATTTATTATGCCACTATCTAGCATTGGCAGCCCAAGGACCAGTATATCTATCAACTCTGCTACTAACAAAAGTATGATGGCTGTAGGAAATACAAGCAGACCTGTTTAAACCAAATGTTATGAGGAAGTTATGGGATAGTGCTGGGTCAAAGGTGATTCCCATCTCTCTCACGATTGTGAGAACCTGGGCTAGTATTTTGTGTAATTTTGGCAATTTCAATTATTTCATTTTTGTTTGAAAATTATTTTATTTAATCCTGTATTGACCAATACTGTGGAGGAAGTTTATGAGATTTTCCCACTGGTAGCACTTACTTCATAGGTGACACATTTTCCAATGAAAACTATTCATTGATGGAAATATCATAAAAAATCAGGGATTGGACTAACCACCAGTTCCCTGTACAACCTTACCAAATTTGGACATTAGAGTAGCAGGAGGAAGACCCTGAATAAAAAGCAAGGGGAAAGGTCACAAGAGAGAGTTTGCCTGTTTTGTTTTTAAAGTATGTACTTATCTCTGCCGATCTTCCCAAACTCACGCCACTTTCCCATTGGATCTTCACCGCTCCAACTAACTAACAATTTACTGGACCTGTCGTAAACGTAATGTTTACAACAGGTCCAGTAAATTGCAGACTTTTGTGGATCAAGGCTTGTTGTAACAAAGCCTTTCCCTCTTTGGGATGCCAACAGTCGTCAAATATTATCCGTCCAGGTATTTATCAACTCATGTACACAATTGTAAACACACTCTCTTGTATAGGTGGACATAAGGATTTAGAAAACTTCTCCATCTACACCTTTTTTTTTGTACTTTTTACTCGGAAAATAAATATTTGTTTTTTCTGTAAAAATGCATAATGGCATGCGTTACTTCCAGGCTTCCCTGTGTCTAAAATTTTCCTCTTTTATCCCTTACTCTGTAAAATTCCTACACACATGGCTGCATGTGCGGTTCGAAGGTTCCTGTGAACCGAAAAGTCATAGGTGGTGTCAGATTTGACCCGAGGGAGCACTGTCATCCTGTTCACACAATTGCTGTCCAAAAAGTGTTAAAGTATATGGTTGGCAGGCTGGCCATTTGTTACCAATAATAGTCATTAATTCACAAAACTTATTTTTTACTTGAAATGTCCTCCCCCATATGAATTGAGAAATATATCAATGTTTTCTTGAAGTTTCATGTTGAATGTTATGTCTTTTCTTGTACAGTACTTTTATACCACTTTGAATTTATCACTTTACCATGTATTTGTCCATATACGAACATCACACCTATACTTTTTACTTTGTTGCATCTCCATTTTGGATTTTTTAATTCAAAACATAACTACATTTTAACACCTTTTTTGAAAAAGCTCTTTGAATGTAATTACCATATTCCTGCACAATACAATCAACAACTTTAGACATAGGCAAATTCCAAATATTGAATGACTAATCCATTTCCCACAAAAAAATGTTCTATTAGCATAGATTCCTAAATTGAAAACTAATTTGCACATTAGTGCATGATTTCCTAAATAGTTTTGACTTTATAAATGAAAAATATTTTTTAATATTATTGAAACAAATTAGACTTAATTAAATTTTTGATTTGAACAAAATTTAAATTTTCATTCAGTTATCTCTACTCCTCCAAACTCCTCTACCCAGTTTAGTAAGTGTTGTGACAGAGCACAATGAATGCTAGTGATTGGAATGCAACATATGATACAACATGTGTGATATAACCAATAAATACCATTACTTTATGTAATATATAAATATCTGATGAAAAGTAAAGATAGTTGGCTACATAAATGATTTAATTATTATTGTTTCAACCAATAATAATCTGATGGAAATAAATTCTAGTTTCATTCCAATCTAGCTCAAATTTTTCTTTTAAATTAATTAATGTTAATTAGTGATGCACTGATATATCAATATGGAAGAATTGTAATAGTGATATAGTTTGTGATACTAATATCAGTATTGGTTTTGGCTAGATAATTTCTGATGTCTCCAATACCAAAAAGGTTTACAGAACAGTGGTAGCTTGTAGACACAAGACAAATAATTATTACATAGAAAAATTTCTAATTTATAAAAATGTGATTGCTCATTCAAATATAGTCTTCTCACCATACTTTTCACTTAACATAGTTAATGCACTTGAGGCTTCTTTCTCTCAGAAATTTTCAGAATATAAAAACATACCTTTGATGATATCTGATTTAAACTCTCTTCTGACTTTGATTCTATTAAACTTTATTCAATGTAAAGTTTAATAGAATCAAAGTTTATTTGGTTCTTTAAGTTAAAATGGTAGTATGTAACTATATTAAAATTTTATGAAGAACTATAAAGTATCAGTAATGAAATTGATAGAAACTGATGAATATTGTTATCAGTATTAGAATAAACAACTTCTTTTATATCTGTACATTATTAATGTTGATTTGCTAATATTGTATCTTTATGTTAGATATTAATTTAATGTATCTCTCAAGATTTAAAATTTTTTCTATAATAATGTTTTTGGCTGTATTGTTTTATACAATGCAACAATTTTGAATGGTATTCTGTAAACTTAATCTTCAGAAAAACTTATAAAGTTCTATTATTATTATTACATAATCTACATAGCAGAAGCAAGGAATTGATCAATAATTTAAGAAATATTTAACAGAAAATTTTTCTTATTTTCTAAATAATAAAAGTTTATGCTAAATTTTAAGTTTTTGAATTAGTCTGCTTAATTCATTGTTTAAATTAACAGCTGTGGAAGAATAAGAATAAAAATGAGATTAATGAATTGATAAAAGATCCAAATCTTGGATAATTTAAATGTATTATAATAATGATTTGTCACTTATATTTATTAGAAATAATTCTAATAAGTCTTATTCTGAGGAACATTTAAAAATTTATGATTTTTATTTAAGTTTTAAGTTAAAGATATTGTTGCCTTAAATTTGCAATACTGAATACTCTCTTTTTAATGAGTGTTTTTTTCATAAGTTTCAAACAAGACTTATTACCATAAAATTTGGTAAATAATGAACATAAGTTTAAACTTGATACTGATTTGAAAGACATCATTAGTCTTATAGAATATCATTTGAACTTATGTATTAATAAAAATGTGAATGATAAAGTTAACATTAATGTTTAACAACTAGCAGACAATCTTCAATACCTACAGCATAAGGAAATGAATAGAGAAAGTTAATTTAGAATTAAAAATTGGAATTTAATGTCCATCAAAAGTTAGTCTGGTACTCTGAAATATATTCATACTTCCAATACCAACTACAAAAATAAGTACAAAATTTCTTCCTTTACCACATTTAAGATACCACACTTTACCACACTTTAATAGAATCCTAGTCCTTCTGGATACTTTGGTTCTTGAGGAATATCCTTAAGCCATCAAACAATCTCACAATACAATGGTAGATGATACAACAGTTTAAAAAAATTGTTGCAAAATGGTTATTGGACACTTAGAAAGTGCATAAAATTCACATCAGATAGAGCTCTTTATCAGGGCCACACATTTCTTTGTATACTATATACACATGTGGTTCATCACTGAACCTGATACATAATTGTTTGCAAAATTTTAATGTTGCAAAAAGTATTTTATTAATAGACACTTATACAAAATGATAGGGAAATTTTAGTACTTTGGAACTTGTTATCTCTGAAATTGATCATTAAATTTGAAAACAAAAAGCTTATTGTACTGTACATCTTTAGACTCATTTCTATCTATTGACATCTAATTTAATCAAATTAACCAAGAAATCTACAAGGAGTTAAGCCAATAAAAAAATTCTTTTTAGTGTAATAGTTTGTTTAAAAAAATTAAATTAATTGACAGCATTGTAAATTGACTTATGTATATATAGACAGAAATACTCTCCTAAAAATACTGTAAAATTCTTTTCATTATTAAAATTTTAAAGGTAAAAATATAAAGTTGCACATTGAAAATTGAAATAGAGATGAAATAATGTTCAAATATATCTTGATCAGAAAAAATGCTGTGAAATTAGTATATTTTAAAATGTTAATTTACAATGTTTTTTTTAATAGAATTAAGAAAAATTTTATTAAGATGTTAGAAATGTAGATAGCTATCATCAGAGTATTTTAAAAATCGTGTTAAAATGTAAAATGATACTTTCATCAGTTAACATACAGCATAAGAAAATGACTTAATGAATTTTTTAAGACTGAATATGAATTATTTAAACGATTAAAATTATTCAGAAAATAGCCTTTGTCTTCTTTTTTAATTACAGTATATTAATTTGAAAAAGCGGTTTACTTGATTTTAATATGATGATGATGAAATAAAGATGATTTTAATAATTTAGAACAGAATTTTTTAGTTTCCAGTTAAGTGTTTTTGTAGTTAAATGAATTAAAAAGACAATTTTTTAATTTTCAGTCATTTTTTCTTTAAAAATGAAAAGTAAATACAGTAAGTCAAAATAACTACTGTATATTCATTGCAATGATTTAAGAAAAATTGATTTGTTATCTAAAGGAACTTATTTTGACTCTTGTTGGCAATGATGTAGTCATTTTTTCCTCCTGACATACATTGTGTATTTGTTTTAAATATCATCAAGTTAAAAATAAAAAAACCATTTACTATCCAGCATAATTCTTTAATAATATAAAAACATTTTTATATTATTAAAGAATTATGCTGGATAGTTAAATGGTTTTTTATTTTTAAGTTGAATTCTCCAGTAAGCAAGTATACAATTATCATCAAGTTTCTTGCTAACTACTTTGAATCAATATAAGGATTCTTTTTGATTGTGTTCATAAATTGATTATAGTTAGTTACTATAGTTACTAGCAGTTGTATCATTAAACAAAGTTGTAGGTAGGAAGAATCTCCAAATATTTCAGTTCTACAACTGTCAGTCATTAGTTATACTGAAAATACTTTTTGCATTTTTTACTTATTTAATAAAAATTTTCATTGGCCAAAACCAGCAGATTATATTTTTAAGTTCTTATTAAAGGTAGTGATAAAATAAGTTTAGATTGTGTTTAGATGTCTGTGCATATAAATTCTTATGCACCTGTGATATTTATTCTAAATTTTTGTCTATTTTAACATGTTTCTTATATATTATTATAATTCATAACATTTAAGTCTAAAATATTTTTGTTATAACTATACAGTTTTATACAAATTGCAAAAAGTCATTTTTTGAATCAATGATTAGATTATTATTATTTCATGTATGAAATACTGAATTTAAATGTAATTATAATAAATTTATAATGTTATTCATCATGACAATTCAAGGAAATAACAAATTTGCTAAGCATTTAAAATTTCATAAATAGTAAAGTAGGATAAGTAATAAATTTTTGTGAGACATTAATTATAATAAGTAGATAATATATTCTATGTTAAGTTTATATAATACTAAGGTAAAAATATGGCTTAAAAAGAAAGATATTGACTATGGGAGTTTAAGCAAAGTATATTTTAACTTACTATCACTAGGCAAAACTCCCTAACAGCAAATCTCACTTGGGGTCTAAAAGACCCTAATAAAAAATTTATTTTTATTAAAGTTGTTTTATAAATAATTTTCTAGTTGTAATGGCAGATCGATTCTCTCAAATGTTCTTCGATGTAGGTAAGTTACTCTACACAATATATTTTTGTTTATTAGTTTTAATATGTAATATGATAAGAAAAATAAAGAAACATGGATATCAACTTTAAATAATTTTTATATATTCACAAATTCTTCAATAAATCATATAACTTTATTTCTCTTCAGCTAAAGCAATTAGAATTTATAAAATTTAGTATTTTAAAATTGAAAAATTTGAAATAACTAATAACTTATTACATTGATGAATTTGTATGTTTATAATTTTATTACTATATCTTTACTATTATTTAAAAATGCTTTTATGGAAAAAAACCTGATTTAATCCTAAACATAATTTTTCACCAAACAATCTTAGTATGGCTACAATTAAATTATTACATTACAGTTGAGATTTATTTTTGTACACATGAAGCATGCAATGCCATAATGTTGTAAATGCCAAAACACAAACTTTTCANCTGTATTATACACAGTCAGTTTCATGTTTGCGTTCTGTCTTTCGAAATTCACTTCGGCTGTAAGTAAATATGTTTGAATCAATATATCTGTTACCGCTAAAGCTCGAAATCCGTTAATGTGTACATTACCTAGCTAATCTGCAGATTAACTAGGGTGATCCGTTAAAGCTGCGAAAATTATTCCATTTTTCAAATTACCTAGGTAATTTGCAGTGTATCTAGGTAATCTGCACATTAACGCTGCCGTATCGTTAAAGTTCAAAAGTTTGTTTCTCTCATTTCCTTTCCCCGCTCCTTCTTTTTACGTAGATAAATTTAAATCATAGAATGCAAGCAAGCACCGAATTGGTGAGTAAAACGAAGAAAAGATTCTTCGCGAACCTCTTTAGCGAAGATTCAAAATATAATAAGTAGTGTTTTAATGACAAACCAAAGTATGATTTCATAATTGAAGATGTAAAGCAAATAAAAGTTTCCAAGAAAAAATAATCATCTCGAGATTTTCAAATAATTCAAAGGTATGATGTGTTGACTGTACGAGGCTGTGAAAAACTCATTGAGCCGTTGTCAGATGCTCGAGAAAGGTTTGAAAAATTTGTCCATGGGGGAGAATTGTTTGACATATTGTATTCGACTCATTTCCTAATTGGCCACAATGGAAGAGACAGAATGATCAAGCAATTAAAAACATTTTATAAATCAAAAAACACAACACTTTAATTTGCTGAAAAAAAAATTTTAATGAAAAGCAAACGTTTTCAGCCAACTCTATTGGCCATCATCAGGCTAAGTCTTTCGAATATAAACAATAGAAGAAAAATTTAAATACAAATAAAATAAAATAACGAATGAAATATATATATAAATGTATAAAGAAATACTATCACAATTGGCACAAGTTGAGGACTCATTCGTCAAATGGGATGAAGCAAGTATTATTAAACCAGTACATTCACTGACATTGGTGATTTGTGCCGAAAAAATTGAAATATATAAAAGCAGATTGCATGATGCATGCATTAATTCTAGAGATTCTGAAGGGTTGCCTTTGGCCTGGAAATACTTAATCAAACAATTAGACAGCTCTTAATTTAATGCCTTCATTTTAGTATTTTTTTATGCATATCTTGCATTTCATTGAATTTCTATGTAACGTTTTAATATTTAATTAACCTATGCTTATTTTTGCATATACATATTTTGTTATTTATAATAATAATTTTTATTTTATTTTTCTTTATACATTTATATATATATTTCATTTCTTATTTTATTTTATTTGTATTTAAATTTTTGTTCTATTTTGTTTATATTTGAATATCTTAGCCTGATGATGGCCAACAGATTTGGCTGAAAACGTTTGCTTTTCATTAAATTTTTCTCAGCAAATTAAGGTGTTGTGTTTTTGAATTACATACAAATGCTGAGTGAGTGTACATCAATTATAAGCTATAACATTTTAAGCATCAAAAGTTGTGTGACTTGTACTTAAAATGTTATGGCTTCACATAAATTCAACTTCAACAGCCAATTACAGTGCCAATATCACCACAATATTTTTTTGCAGCAGAAAACATTGAGTTTAGAATTCAATTATTCAATAAAATGTATTTAGAGAAAAACTGCATTTACAACATTATGGCATTGCATACTTCATATGACAATTTTTTTTTTTTTTTGTAAATCCTATGTAAAAGGGTTTGTGTATACTGAACATGTATAATCATTAAATTTACATTTTTATATTTGTAGAAACAAGTACAAAAATTTTATTATTTCTCTAGTTAAAATCATTAAAAAGAAGGACATTAAAAAATTTTTTTTTAAATAATCATTTAAATTTACTATAATTGTTAGACTATCAATTAACACAATTTAAATGATATTAGCTTGATTGATCGTCAGGTGTTTTTCAATTATAGTAATTGGCAAATCATGAAGTTGCATTATATTTTATAGTCTGTAGACAAATATTAATATCCCTATAAAATACAGTGGGTGATCGGTTAACGAACAATTCGGATAACAAACAAAGTCTTTCACGAAAGATTTTTACAATCGGACAACGAACACATGTTCGGATAACGAACACTTGACTGAACAAACACAAAAAGAAGAGACGTAAAATAACGAATACCGATTGGTCTTCCTTTGTCTTCAGGCAACAATTCAAAACTTTTCGGAGCGCGGGAGACGTCGACATCGACGTTCTACCCAGTATATACTGATAGGATAGTATTCTCCCGAACTTTGAAACTCTCCCTTGTAATTCCAGCTTTTTATATTTTTGACAGAAACAATTCTTTTACATTTTCTTATGAAAATGCAGATTTATGCTGACATCTGCTATTAAAGATCTTTTAAAGAAGTGGGAGGACCGTTGTTCTGACAGAACAACGGTCTTAAAATGGCATCCAAACCAGGTTGAGGTTAATAGGCCTAGGGTTCTCTACAATTACAATGCTATTAATTACTTCTGAAAAATCATAAAGAAGACAGAAAAGCAATCGACATTGGACAGATTCTTTAATTAATTAATTAACCCCCGCAAACGGAAAAAACATGACTAATAAAAATGCAAGCCGTGTATATATGTATTTTTATTATTACATATAAATAAACGTAATAAGAAAGTATAGTCTATATTTTTTATTTTTTGGAGGTCTCCAGAACAAATTAATCAAATTCCCATAGAAACCTATGGTAAATCGATAATCGGTTAACGAACAATTCGGATAACAAACAAAGTCTTGGAACGGATTATGTTCATTAACCGATCATCCACTGTACTGACAAATTTTTCAATGAAATTTTTAGTTTTTTTTAGAAATTTTTAAGTTAATTATTTATAATTGCTTTAGCTACACAGTGCATATGCTGTTTACACTTTATTCTAAGCTTTCTTTAAAGTTATTAATAATGAAACTTTAAACAATTGCTATCAATTTTTAACATGTAAATTTATACAAAATATTTATGTATTGTTTTGAAGTAAAATAATAATTATTATACTAGTTTATTAAAACCATGTGAATCAGTGACATGTTTGAACCATGTTTAACAATAAATTTGCTTGTATTCAGTGTGACTTACTTTATCAAGAGTAATCTACCTTGTTTATCTGGAGAATATATATATTGTATATAAGAATACATATGTTTGCTTTATACAGTAGAGCGTCGTTTATCCGAAGGTCGGTTATCCGAAAGGTCAGTTATCTGAAGAAATTCCAGTCGACAAATTTAAATTTTCGCCAGTGCTGTAGCGCTGTAATCTTTGGCTATGTCTTCGGCTACTCAAATATTTTACATTTTTGATACATTAACTTCTGAAGTATAATTTTTTATTGTTTTTATATTTTTCAATATATTTATTTTGTTTGTACAAAATAAAAAAATAATTTTTAACAATACAATAGTCTTTGTTAGGCTTAACATTGACGAAAATTCAACGCAAAGCGACACGCAACGGAGAAAAATTTCAACACGGGATAAATTAATATATTTTTTCGTACATATTTGGTTATCCGAAAAATAAGTTATCCGAACAACCACAGTCCCCAATTGATTCGGATAAATGACGCTCTACTGTATAAAGAAAACTTTATACTACAATAACAGTTTACAACTATGTTATATGGATGGTGAGTGAATCAGCCTGAAATGTAATATATGACAAAGTGGAAAATCAAGGTAGATAGCATAAGAAAAGAATGTATAACTACAGTCTGGTTCATATATAACAAACATGAAGGTGACTGAGTAAAACTTTATTATAGTGATATTTCACAATAAATGATTGTGCATTTATTTTTGATTTTTAAATGCATGTGGTATTTTTCATTTAACCAAAATGTAGAAAATGTTCAGATTTGTATTTAAAAGATAAAAACAATAAAAAAAAGATGTGCAAAGAAAAATGTTATTTACAGTACAAGAGAGAGATCTCAATGATCTCTATCTTTGTCTCCAATGACAAAACTTTGTTCATGTTCAGACTTGGATATTGTGGTCAAAATACATTGCAATGAGTTTGCTGTCTCTTCTTAATAAAGCAAAGTCAGAATAAATTGAATTTTAAGCAGGAAAATCATGTCTGCCTCCTTCAGTTTATTGTTTGAAATTGGTCAATATAGCTGTCAGTATTGGACAATCACAGGCTAGAGTGCAGGAACGTGATATGGTCCTGAATGTTTTGAAGTCTGGAAGAACAAAAGAGCTGTCATTTGGCTCAAATTGATAACCTGACTGACCTACCATAGTTCTTTAATGAAAGTTAAAAGGGATAATAAAGCAGCAACTTTGTCACCCAGTATTAGTTGTAGACCTAAACATTTAAAGTTATTTGGAAGTTAAAGGTTTACAGATATATGCATTTGTTACACCAGGTGATTTAAAATAGACTTCACAACTTTGAAAGGATATAGAATTTTAATCTGATGATTTACAGAATCAGTTGGAAGGTTAATGTAATACCAAGTTTTACTGCAGTCACTTTGGTTTTGAGTGAGTGCTATTTGAGTTAGTGCAGACATCCCACTTGAATTTATTTCTAAACTCA